TAGAGGAAAATAGTATTAGAAATAATTATTAAAGTTTCGGTATTACAAAACACATACAACATTGTTGTCTAGCTTTTCGTGTTACTAAATATTTTGATTCAATATCAGTCTTTATATTGTAATTGTTTTCAAGCAATTTGGAAGCGTCGGTCACCGGTGACCACCATGGTATTTAGCGGCGTTGCCGGAGAAAGGTATACTTACACCGGTCAAACTGAAGAAAGGGTGCGCGGGTCTGCCTATTGTTTCGAAACGGAGACGTCCGGATCACGTGCACGGGCCGATACACGTATTAACACTAAAACTACCGAGTACATCAATGAACTTTTGAAAATTTCGCTATAGAAACTCCAAGAGTGCATTGGTTCAGACTTTAATTGATTTAGAATTCAATTTGCGTAGTGCTAAATGAATTTCTTTAATAATTTCTCAGAGAAACATTTGTTACCTTTCTAATAATTGCAAAAAGAAGACATCAGGCATGGGTCATTTCACCCCTCTGGTAGTTTTAGTGTTAAACGACAGTTTCATCACGGCAGGGCGCGGCGTTGGGTCAAGACGAGGCTCGTTCCGCGGTGGCGCCGTGGCATATCCGAGCGGATTCTGTTTAGAAGTTCCGCAAAGCGAATAAATTGAAAAACTGCGGAGCGACAGGGGGAAAGTTCCGTGTGTACATCGGGGGAACATTCAACCGGTGGCGAGTTCGGATCCGACCGCTCGGCCCGGTGGCAAGCCTTCGACCCGGATATTCCCAAGACTCCGTTTAACGGCGTCTAAACGGAACAACGGGCCGCTAGGCTGCTGGAGAATCATCCCTACTAGTAATGAACGCCACCGGGCAAACGAAATTCCGCCGAACAGAGTCTCTTCCGGTGTCCACGCGTGTCGAACTGTCGCTGTCTTCGACCGTTCGCCAACGGTCAACAAATAAAGTTGAAGACAGAGCATTGAAGATGAAGACAGAGTTAACGGTAATGATAGAAATAATCGTGATATCGATGATAGTATCAATAATAATAATAGTAATAATAATAATAATAATAGTTATTATTAAAGAAAGAGGAAGACAGAGGCAAAGAAAATATTGAAGCTTAGTTAAAGTTGAAGACAGAGCATTGAAGATAGAGTTCACAATAGTGATAGAAATAATCGTGATATCGATAATAATAGTATCAATAATAATAATAATAGTTATTATTAAAGAAAGAGAAAGACAAAGACAAAGAAAATATTGAAGCTTAGTTAAAGTTGAAGACAGAGCATTGAAGATTAACAATAATGATAGAAATAATCGTGATATCGATAATAATACTAGCAATAATCATAAGAGTAATGGTAGTAATACTTGTCACGAATATATAGGGTGTTCACTGGGTTAGAATGTAACAATTACGATGAAAATTCAACGCCTCTTAACGGATGAGGACTGCGACGGATGGCGGATCGTTTCCACCGGGAGTCAAAGGGAGGAAGAAAGTTCCGCGGCCGATCTGGGTCAGGTCGAAGGGTGCCAATCAAACTGAACCTTCCCCCACCGTTATAATTACTAAACAGCGGGTTTTCCGCGATTAAAGTGGCAACGTTCCCAGAACAATCTCGGAGCCCTTATTTTCAACTTATCAACACTATTTCTAGCGAACCTTGTTCGAAAACACCCTTCGACATTTTCATGGATAATATAAAGTTCCCAGTTTAAATATAATATAATATTAATCACTCGATTAAATTATATTATCGCACGTTTATCTAACGGTCGCATTAGATAGCGTTATTTATAATTTAGAAATGTTTTTCGTTTAATCATCGTTTAACACTTTAACTGCCAAGTTACCCGAATACGGGTGACACCATTTTGAAATTCATCTTGAACGTTCGTTTTCTTGTGTCGAACGAAGTTTTATCGAAAGTGCGAGATATAAGGAAATAGTAGTAAAGTAGTAGAATATATAGTAAAGTATGTAATGGTAGTAATTAATAGTAGCAGAAATATATAGTAATTGTTACGAAGAATCTTGAGTCTTCAGGTTTTGCTTCAATAAGAAAACTGTTTCTGAACAAAATTTAACATTAACCCTTTGAACTCTGTAGGCTCCAATATTGCACCAGTTGTAATATTAAATATTTGAATGAATCAAAGAAACTACCCCACAATTATTAGATCTTTCACATCCAAATTTCGCACTAAGAAGGAAAACAAAGGATCTAAGAAATGTTATAGCATTTCTCATTTTCTCCAGAGATACTATAAAAATTAGTTGCAGTTGCTGATAGATTACTAAAGAAATGAAAAGATTAGTGAACATTCTCTAAGCTATACAAAACCTTTTGTAAATTCTGCCAAATCGCACATCGAGTGCCTAAATAATAAGTAAAAGGGAAATCATGTACTGGTTTCTTGCTGTTTCAGTAGTTGAATCATTTGTTAGCAACTTAATATTACAAACACGAAAGTTCGACCTCAGTAAAGTGTCGACATTCGTCCGCAAAGGGTTAACTCTTTGCCCTCGAAAGTATTTCGCTGGAAATACTTAACGTTTTTTAACTATACAAAGACGATATTTTTTTGAATGAACTCAAAGAAAAATCACAAGTAAATTGAGAGACAAAGCTTTTTTATCCGAATATTTCATACATCCATGTATTATACACAGTTCAATATTGAATATCAAATTTAATAGTTTTACTGCATCGAATCATGCGGCGACTGAGAGTCACCGCTCGAGTGCACAGGGTTAAACATCTCGAACTTCAGAATTTTCCCGTGTCAAATCAATCGGCGACCAAGGGGCGCCCACGCGGTGCAACGGGTTAATGATTTCGTGGAAAGCGGTAGGTTTCAAAGCAATCCGGCATTCGTAATCTAACAAGAGCATCGACGTGAATAACATGTCGGCAATTTCCCAACAAAAGCATCACGACGCGCGCGCGCCGCGTCTTTCCAGCGCAAGTGGTTAATTAGGATCGTTCCCCGCGCCGCTGGCCCATCTTTTGTCACCACGTCGGTCGCGTACACGCGTGCCATTCGTGAAGAGTCTGCGACGAGTAAGTCACCCCCGGATCACGGTGAACATTGTCTTCCTAAACGAATCATTTTCTCGTTACGAACGCACAAAGAGGAGAGGAAGCTTCTCCATCCGGTTTTAGTTTCGTAAAGGGACTAGGCCGCTCGGTAATTGATCCCTCAACTAGCGGCGGCGTTCAACGTGGCGTCAAACATTGCCATTCTTAGACAAACGAAAGAAACTATCGAACTACTGCGTTCATCCGTTTATTTCAGAAAACTTCAATGACTTCACTGACGTTCGAACGAAATCGAAAGCCAATTGACCGCAGATTTAGCTTTCTGGGACGTTTTTATCCTTCTAGTTTATAATTAGGTGGCATAATTGTTTGATAAGCTACTCGGTAATTGATTAAACAAACGAAAGAAACTCTCGAACCACCGCGTTCATCTGTTCATTCCACGAAACTTCAATGATTCCACTGACGTTCGAACGAAATCGAAAGCACGATCGGCCGGGGGCTTAGCTTTCTGGGACGTTTTTATCCGTCGAATCCTTCGTCTAGTTTACAATTAGGTTGGATAATTGTTTGATAAACTGCTCGGTAATTGCCATAAATTAGGGACGGAGAATTAAGCTGCTGCCGGACGAGGGTGGGCCGGGGGTGGGAGGATTTTCCACGGACGGTGTATCGAATAATCGATGCGCGGCGGCGCGCTCGCTCGCGCGCGCGCGTGCATCAGTGACGTCAGCGGCGAGGAATTCGCTGAAATTGCGCTCGCACTCCAGCAAATCATTCCGTAATTAAAATACATTTCGATGATTCGTGGCTGCCGTTGGACCGGCATACCGGGGATTCTCGTTCCTCGTCACCCACGCCGGCGTGCCCGTACCGACCACCGATTTCCGTGCAGATCGAAAAGATTCGAGGGAATCGGATACGCGAAAAAATCGACTGTCGCTTTGAAACGAAAGTTACTGATCCCCTTTGATCGGTAACAACCGATCGAACGATCGAAAAGGAGTGGCAAGTTAGGAAGATATCCTATGTAACACAGCATTTTATGGACTGATTAATGAAATGGCAATTGAATATTACGGTTTTAGTCTGTTCATTGGTTACGGAAAGAATTGCCAATGGCAAATCAGAATATAAGCTTGAAGATAATTTTAAGCGAAAATTTCGAAAGCTTCCGACAGCTTCAATAGAAATAGCGTTAACTCACGACTACTTTCTAGAAAATTGAATTGCAGATATCAGTTTCCAGTGGGATCGACTTATATCGCTATAGATTAGCCTTAGATATCACGTTATTACGGAATATATTTGACATAGATTATCAATTCGAATTAAATTGAATATCTTATCCAATACTATGGTAATTAGCAATGTTCCATAGCCAAGTTTTCATCGAAAAACAAGATTTCCCGTTACCAATACGCAATGTAGAAAGAAACCACCATTGAAGAAACAGGCAACTATTGTCACTTCCGCTATCAATACTATAACTATCAAAGTTCCGTAGCCAAGTCTTCATCGAAAAACAAGATTTCCCGTTACCAATACACAATGTATAAAGAAACCACCATTGAAGAAACAGGCAACCATTGTCACTTCCGCTATCAATACTATAACTATCAAAGTTCCACATCCAAGTTTCCATCAAAAGCCAAGATTTCCCGTTACCAATACGCAACGTACAAAACAACCACCATTGAAGGCGACCAGCATCACTTCCGCTTCACCAAGACGATCTCACACCTCCCTCAGAACCGTGTAACATCCAAAATCGATCAGGAGGTAGAAGGGTAGAGTCGATCGGCGGAGTATCGGTTCGATGAACGGAACGATAATCCCGAAGAAAGAGAAAGCGTTGCCATGGAACACTGTGGATCGATACGCGGGCCGGCGTCGCCTGTTGCGAGATTATACCTTTTGCTTTCCGCATTTTGCGGGCGTCGAGGCGGCCAGATAAAAATATTCTCCGTTATTCGCAGGGGGTGAGCGAGCGAGCGAGCGGGCTCTTCGCTAATAACTTTCCCGAGGCCTGGAGACGACGACGACGACGCCGCTCTTAATTTATTCGCCGTCCGGCCGGCCGATTAAAACCGGCGGAAAATTGCGCGCGGAGAGATAAGGAGCGGTACCGATGCTATCAAACGGGACACAATTTCTCTCGCGGCGGTCTCATCGCCGCGCCGGGGATTTCAATTTAATGAAGACGCCTCGCGCGACGAAGCGTCGCGATTCATCGGGCGAAATACTCCCTGGATCGGTGGGAAGAGGACGTGCTCCCGATTTTTACGGAAGAAGATGGAGAATCAAAGGGAATGGAGTATCGTTTTGGGAACGGTGTGGGGGAAGCTTTATGGTCGCTGCAGTACCGATAGTGGCGTTACCGACTGCGGTGCTGTTCGATCTGATTATCGACCGATCTTCGGGCTGCCCCTGGGGTAGGCAATGTGCTGCACTCGCGTGCGCCGTGGAGGATCGTGATATATTTGAAATCTTATTGATAATTGATTATTTTGAGGTAGTGAAGGATTAGAATTGTTTCAATGGTAACGTAAATGTTGAAGAAGATTGGAAATTGTATAATTGAAAGAGGATTGAGCTTGAATATATTCAATGTATTGTAAAATTGAAGATAATTAAAATAATTCGATTTAATAATGGAATATCGTATGGATTAAATACAGAAATTATTTTTGGTCGTAAGTTTCTAATTTCTGTAGAAGGTGAAATAGAATGTCTATTTACTTCTTCAAACTGAAGTAGAGACAGTAGAGTTTGAAGTTTGAGAATCAGTAGAATGAGAAGAACTGGGTCAGACACAAGTATCGAGAATTAAGGGAAACATTAATTTCATTAATTTCGTAGCTTATCGAATACAGTGCCCAGTGGATTGTTGAGATTGTTACGATTAAAATGAGTCCAAACACCATGTGAATCGGACTAGTTCGATAAATTGCAAAGAAATAATTAATCTTGTTAATTACATTAAGTCTTTCAATCTAATCCTATTTACACCGTGTTTGGACTTATTTTAATCGCAACAATCTCAACAAACTGTCACTAATTGAAGAAAGCAAGAAATGAATGAAACTGATATTTCCTTTATGTCTGTCTCACGTCTTATTGAATGCAGTAATTTCGTTTGTTCTTGGTAGGGTCTCGTAAACGATGCGTCGTGTATATATATATGATTCTTTATTATGTACATTCTTCATTTTATTGACGTATCATTCATCAAACAGTGTTTGTCAGACAT